AGGAATTCCCAAAACAATAGACGAATCATATTAGTATGAGTAGCAGTTTGCTGCTAGCCTATGCAGTGTAGGCCTACTGTGTACTAGCCTATTGGGTATAAACCTACTGTGTGCTAGCCTATTGCGTGTAGACCTACTGTGTGCTAGCCTATTGTGTGTAGACCTACTGTGTACTAGCCTATTGCGTGTAGACCTACTGTGTACTAGCCTATTGTGTGTAGACCTACTGTGTACTAGCCTATTGTGTGTAGACCTACTGTGTACTAGCCTATTGTGTGTAGACCTACTGTGTACTAGCCTATTGCGTATAGACCTACTGTGTGCTAGCCTATTGTGTGTAGACCTACTGTGTACTAGCCTATTGTGTGTAGACCTACTGTGTACTAGCCTATTGCGTGTAGACCTACTGTGTGCTAGCCTATTGTGTGTAGACCTACTGTGTACTAGCCTATTGCGTGTAGACCTACTGTGTACTAGCCTATTGTGTGTAGACCTACTGTGTACTAGCCTATTGTGTGTAGACCTACTGTGTACAAACCTATTGGGTGTAAACCTACTGTGTACTAGCCTATTGCGTATAGACCTACTGTGTACTAGCCTATTGCGTGTAGACCTACTGTGTACTAGCCTATTGAATGTAGACCTACTGTGTTCAAGCCTATTGGGTGTAAACCTACTGTGTACAAGCCTGTTGGGTGTAAACCTACTGTGCACAAGCCTATTGAGTGTAAACCTATTGTACACCAACCTCAGCCTGGTTTATGTAAACATCTGGCCCTCTGATTTGTCTTCTTAAGGCTTTGACTATCAAATCCCTTGAAATATTTCTTTCAAAAAAAGCTCTTTTGAATTTCCCAGGCATTTTTCAGTAAGATTCTTTTGACCCAGTTGAGTATTCTTTCTCACATATTAAGCGAAATGAATTTATCGACGTTAACCTATTGATAACTTGCAGCTGTATGTATGTTTATCTATCTGTCTGTCTTTGCTTGTCTATCTCACCGTCTCCGTCTACTTGTTTAATATATCCAAAAATATTAATACTTTTTAATATGGAAAATCAGAGCAATTGCGTCAGAGAATTTAACTGAAGACTTTATCTCTAAATATTTATGAGGGATTTTATTAAAAGGTAAAGATAGACATGTTGATAGACAAAGAGGGCAGATGAGTGGGGACAGGCAGACAGCATAGACCAGATGGGACACACAAAGAAAATTGAAACACATAGAGATCAGCCACTTACTTCTTTAATCGGTAGGTGGCGGTGGAGAGTCGACTGAAGTTGACTGGAGAGTCGACTGAAGTTGACTGGAGAGTTGACTGAAGTTGACTGGAAAGTCGACTGGAGAGTTGACTGAAGTCGACTGAAGTTGACTGGAGAGTAGACTGAAGTCGACTGGAGAGTCGACTGAACCTGGACGTTGGCTTCCACAGTACCGTTATTCAGTAACGCGCTTGACTGATGCATTAGTGATGAAGGTGGTGACCTTTACACCCGGGAGGAAAGGTTAAACTGGTGATGACCCACGGATCAACATGTACGCACCTAGTTAGAGAGAAGCGAAGCTGCCAGTTATAACGGAGAGAAACTAGGCTATATATATAACCATGATTGTTTTTGATAGGCATTTTAAATTATTTCATATTCTCCACCTTTCGTAGATTCTTAAACAATAGGCATTTTAAATTATTTCATACTCCCCACCTTTTGTAGATTCCTAAATAATCTTAGAAATATCAATATAACCAAATATCAATATAATCAATATAGTTTCTACAACAACACGAGACTAAACCCGTATTGGTATAAATAGTTTTAATAGGATTTTAATGATCCATCACATCAAAAAGTTTTCATATTAAAGTGTTGATGGGGGGCCATGAAAGTAATTGAATTTTTATGACAGATATTCAATATCTATAATTTTTCTCGAAAAGTTTTCAATTTTTTTTTTAAATTTTCATTTAAAAAAAAAATGTCCCCAAGTAAATTTTCAACTAATTACGAAACCTGCACATCTTTACTTAATCACAGTGGGTTTATTTATATTTATTAAAGTAGTTTATGACCATTCGAAGCTTTACAACGCAAGGTTGTTTTTTCAATTACGGGCTCACCATAGCCCGTGCTACTTGGGACATTGTTCCAGGTAGCGAATCTTTAACAACAACAACAGCAAGGTTGTTATTGTTGTTGAAATAATGTCATCAAACCAGTCATGATCGAGGAAAGATTTTTTTTTTAAACAATTTGGTGATTTTTGTAATACTGATAAAGTGAATAAAAAATAATTCTGGTATAATCTAAGTAAAATTTTATTTTATAATTTTTAATCATTGTTGTTGTTCCTGATATTTCTATTAACGTGAATATAATTAGTAAGAGCAAACGTAGAAGCGTTGGTGTACTAGTAGTAATACTTGAACTATTAATAGTTTTAAACTAGCTACTAATAGTCGTAAATGTTGTTCTATTGGAGAGTAAATAGTGTCAATATTTGTGTACCTATAGTGCCGTAGATAACCTTTATTTACCTGTTTATAATGCCGTATCGGACCTTGTACAAAAATAATCATTAGATCATGTGATAACATTTCTTACCGGTAAATAAAGCTCTAAGATCGAAAAAAATTAAAAAAGCAAAAAATACTCAAGGAGAAAGACAAAGAAATGTGAGCGGCGCAATTGGCGGTCATTAAGAACGCCTGCTAACCACATACGTCAAACCAGTTCAAGAATATGCAGCGCTAGCAAGGAACGCGCACCACGTTAATCAAAATCTGGTCCAAGTGCTGCCTGGAAGGTGTTTACAAGGAGAGCCTAAATGAACTAAACATGACGCCACTGGAAAAAAGACAGAAACAGGGAGACATGATCACGACGTGCAAGGTACTCAGGGAATCGACAAGGTAGACAGATAACGTTCTTTAAACCTGAAAGGGACCAGAACGACAACATTAGAGAAATATATCATACAGAAATTCAAAGGTAAATACAATAGAACCCAAAGGCTTCAGTTGTTTAAATGTTGAGAAGTACGACCTAGAGAGAGAAGCTAAAGCTTTACCCCATCAACACACACACACACACACACACACACACACACACACACACACACACACACACACACACACACACACACTTCAGAATTGCATTTAAATACATGGATGGCGATATACTAAAGAAATTGTTCATGACTTTTGTTAGGCCAAAGCTAGAATATGCAGCTGTTGTGTGGTGCCCATATCTTAAGAAGCACATCAACAAACTGGAAAAGGTGCAAAGACATGCTACTAAGTGGCTCCCAGAACTGAAGGGTAAGAGCTACGAGGAGAGGTTAGAAGCATTAAACATGCCAAAACTAGAAGACAGAAGAAAAAGAGGTGATATGATCACTACATTCAAAATAGTAACAGGAATTGATAAAATCGACAGGGAAGATTTCCTGAGACCTGGCACTACAAGAACAAGAGGTCATAGATTTAAACTAGCTAAACACAGATGCCGAAGAAATATAAGAAAATTCACCTTCGCAAATAGAGTGGTAGACGGTTGGAACAAGTTAAGTGAGAAGGTGGTGGAGGCCAAGACCGTCAGTAGTTTCAAAGCGTTATATGACAAAGAGTGCTGGGAAGACGGGACACCACGAGGGTAGCTCTCATCCTGTAACTACACTTAGGTAATTACACACACACACACACACACACATTATAACAAGGAGCGTGCACATACCGACGAGTATCAGTGGTCGCCCCGCAGCATACAGAGATATACAGGAGTGTGAGGGAAAGTGGCCTTCATAACTATCAGGGAAGGCTGGCGAGAAGCCCCCACAAGGAGGAGGAGGAGAGCGCGCCGGCCCACGGGTTTTCACAGCTGCTCTGTAAGCCTCTTTCCTCCCCATAACTTACCAGCCGCTAGAGAACTCACTCAACTTGCTAGTGCACAGAGAGAGAGGCAGAGATACGGAGACAAAGAGAGACACGGAGACAGAGAGGGGCAAAGAGACACGGAGACAGAAAGAGAGAGGGGTAAAGAGACACGGAGACAGAGAGAGAGAGGGGCAAAGAGACACGGAGAAAGAGAGAGAGGGGGGCAATGAGAAACAGAGACAGAGAGAGAAGAGACAGAAACGGAAGTTGAGGATTTTAGTTCTACCATGTTGAGTGGAATATCTTGGCACTTGCTATTATACAGAAATCGTATAACGAACTCCCATTAAATCTCTGATTTACCCTAGGCTCCCGAACGCTAGGTAAAACAAAATTGAAATCCAATTATTACGTAAACAAGGTAAGGTAATCGTAGAGAGAAAGCATGAAGTCATAAAGACTCGAAAACACTCCTCTATTTGTTTACCTTTCTTAAAACAATCACCTAAATGCACCAGGGAGAGAATGGCGCGCATTTCATTGTTTGGCAAGGAGGGTAAATATACCCCCGCTGGAGTACCAAGAACAGCAAGTCTGTGGGAACTGACGCAGACGCGGTCCGCGTCCCTCTGGTGGTGTGGGGGAGAAGCTCACGATCCCGTCTGGTATCGTGATTAAAAATGTTAGTCTGGTGCCTCACCCCAGCCTGACCTTATCCCAGCCTGACCTCACCCCAGCCTGACCTGACCCCAGCCTGACCTGACCCCAGCCTGACCTGACCCCAGCCTGACCTCACCCCAGCCTGACCTTATCCCAGCCTGACCTCACCCCAGCCTGACCTCACCCCAGCTTGACTTCACCCCAGTCAACACCACATTCCATACACTCTCCAACTCCTTACACATACTCAATAGACTCTCCAACTCCTTACACAGACTCAATAGACTCTCCAACTCCTTACACAGACTCAATAAACTCTCCAACTACTTACACACACTCAATACACTCTCCAACTCCTTACACACACTCAATACACTCTCCAACTACTTACACACACTCAATACACTCTCCAACTACTTACACACACTCGATACACTCTCCAACTCCTTACACACACTCAATACACTCTCCAACTACTTACACACACTCAATACACTCTCCAACTCCTTACACACACACTCAATACACTCTCCAACTCCTTACACACACACTCAATACACTCTCCAACTCCTTACACACACTCGATACACTCTCCAACTCCTTACACACACACTCAATACACTCTCCAACTCCTTACACACACTCAATACACTCTCCAACTCCTTACACACACACTCAATACACTCTCCAACTCCTTACACACACTCAATACACTCTCCAACTACTTACACACACTCAATACACTCTCTAACTACTTACACACACTCAATACACTCTCCAACTACTTACACACACTCAATACACTCTCCAACTCCTTACACACACTCAATACACTCTCCAACTACTTACACACACTCAATACACTCTCCAACTCCTTACACACACTCAATAAACTCTCCAACTCCTTACACACACTCAATAAACTCTCCAACTCCTTACACACACACTCAATACACTCTCCAACTCCTTACACACACTCAATAAACTCTCCAACTCCTTACACACACACTCAATACACTCTCCAACTCCTTACACACACTCAACAGACTCTTAAGTTAAAATTTTAGCCAAGGCCTTAAAGTATATTAGGCTATAGGTCATAGACTAAGGTTAATTCAGCTGGCATGAGGCTTAGAACTGAAGGAGGTGCATAATAAAACTAAGTGGTGTGGTATGAGGTACTCTACTATAAATATTAAATAAAAAATCGATTTGCTGAGAATAGATTAACAAAGAATCAGTTAGATGTGGCTTAGCTGATTGAATAATTATATAAATTTGTATCTAGCACAGCAGGGCACTGGTTCTTTGATCATGCTTTGTTGGATCAAGTTGTGAAATGGCATGAAATATTACTTTATCAGCAAATAGCCTAGTTGACTGAAACCATCATTTACTAAACCTAATAATTTGCTAGTTATATTAAATAACATCCGGTCACATATTAGCAAGATATGTGTTTGGGGTTAAACCCCGCGTTGTAACCTTAATTTATGATTGGTAGAAATGATTAATGACATGAAAACGATTTATAAATTTAGTACCGAACAAATATTGATTTGTTTACAACCACGAATTGACGCTAGGCGTCTGACGGCGTTCTGGGAATTCTCATATCATTCAAAATCTCTATTACAGTGTCCCTACGCGCAGTTGATGAACTTAATTATTAATTACACACACTCTTAAGTCTCGTTGATGATCTTGAGCATCTCACAAACACTCTTGATAGCAAGCTTCGCAAGGATAATCGGAATGTCTAGCGAAGTCAGGCTTGAAAGGAACATATCTGCCCATTGCTCCCTCACGGGGCGAGGGCGCGATTCTAATTACTCAATTAGCCATTTACTGGCATATAGGTTTACATAGTACGAGTATCAAACTAACTCTAAATTAAAGTACTATTATGAAATGATACGATAATATAAACGGTTCGTACTCCGCAATGTAAAATCATAGATATTGGATACTATTTAAGAACGTCTTTTTCTAGACTAGTGGAGCTGGAATATGAGTATAGTGAGCTGGGATACGTGGACAAGGAGTTGGGATACGAGGACAAGGAGCTGGGATACGAGGACAAGGAGCTGGGATACGAGGACAGGGAGCTGGGATACGAGGACAAGGAGCTGGGATACGTGGACAAGGAGCTGGGATACGAGGACTAGGAGCTGGGATACGTGGACAAGGAGCTGGGATACGAGGACAAAGAGCTGGGATACGAGGACAAGGAGCTGGGATACGAAGACAAGGAGCTGGGATATAAGAACGGAGTGAAGGAACGGCGCTCAACCACTTAGATCACCGGGGGATCGAACACCGGCCCTGCAAGAAGCAAAACCATCGCTCTACCAACTAGTCATAGTGGTTGCGTTTCGCCTCGGTCCTAATAATTTACAAAACACGAAATCCACATTATGAACCTCTCGCGTTGTAAAGAAATATAATAATTAGATGCCAGAGAAGATATTATATTACCCTAGGAAGCATTGTGCTAAATCGCATCCTTGTTGCAAAGATCTTAAAAAAAAGTAATCGTGCATAAATCTTAAGAGAAAACTCCTGTCTGGTTTAGGAACATCAGAGAGGGAAAGAAAGATAATAATATATATTAAAAAGCCTAATTTACAGCCTTATGGTATATCTATAGAGGAGTTCCTAATCTGTTATGTCTCGTCTAAACCCCTTTTCTAACCACGTTTCTCACCTGTGGATCTATTCAGCGAAACAGATTGGGCTTTGCAAGAAGAGTGTGTCTTCCACACTCTTCAATAGACAGTAGAACATTTGACTTCCTCTCTCCAGCACGAGTCTCAGATGTGGATTCGTCAGGCCACTAAATATGAGGCTTCCACACCTAAGGGAGGGTAGAAACACACAATGATTGGCTTCTTGATGCGGCTTTCTCGATTTTCACCGTATCTACCGATAAGTTTATTTAATCTAACACATACACTTTATGTCTATGTTGAAGCCAAAAATGAACTTAAAAGCAGCATCTCCTAATATATATAGTTATATAACTTATATAATTTATTTATAATAATAGAATATAGTGTTGATAATCGAAAAAATGAATGATACACACACACAATAATATAGTACATATATGTACTATATATATATGTATATATACATAAAATACCAGCTGAAGCTTTTAGTAAACAAACCAATGGAACTATAACTTGGCCCAACAGGTTTTCCGCTAGGATGAACTTGAACAAAACAACCAAGCAAAGCGTCCATCCTGATTTGAAAAGCTGAGTGAGGTGGAGACTCACTCCTGTCACTAGGCTGGAGCCTCTCCAGTGTTGGAGAAAGCAGGGCAGTGTTGGAGAAAGCAGGAACAGTGTTGGAGAAAGTAGGGCAGTGTTGGAGAAAGCAGGAACAGTGTTGGAGAAAGCAGGAACAGTGTTGGAGAAAGCAGGGCAGTGTTGGAGAAAGCAGGAACAGTGTTGGAGAAAGCAGGGCAGTGTTGGAGAAAGCAGGAACAGTGTTGGAGAAAGCAGGAACATTGTTGGAGAAAGCAGGGCAGTGTTGGAGAAAGGAGAAGTGTTGGAGAAAGCAGGGCAGTGTTAGAAAAAGCAGGAACAGTGTTGGAGAAAGCAGAACAGTGTTGGAGAAAGGAGAACAGTGTTGGAGAAAGTAGGGCAGTGTTGGAGAAAGCAGGGCAGTGGAGAAAGCAGGGCAGTGTTGGAGAAAGGAGGGCAGTGTTGGAGAAAGCAGGGCAGTGTTGGAGAAAGCAGGTCAGTTTTGGAGAAAGCAGGGCAGTGTTGGAGAAAGGAGAACAGTGTTGGAGAAAGCAGAACAGTGTTGGAGAAAGCAGGAACAGTGTTGGAGAAAGCAGAAGTGTTGGAGAAAGCAGGAACAGTGTTGGAAAAAGCAGGAACAGTGTTGAAGAAAGCAGAACAGTGTTGGAGAAAGCAGGGCAGTGTTGGAGAAAGCAGGAAGTGTTGGAGAAAGCAGGAACAGTGTTGGAGAAAGCAGGAACAGTGTTGGAGAAAGCAGGGCAGTGTTGGAGAAAGCAGGAACAGTGTTGGAGAAAGCAGGACAGTGTTGGAGAAAGCAGGAACAGTGTTGGAGAAAGCAGGAACAGTGTAGGAGAAAGCAGGACAGTGTTGGAGAAAGCAGGAACAGTGTTGGAGAAAGCAGGACAGTGTTGGAGAAAGCAGAACAGTGTTGGAGAAAGCAGGAACAATGTTAGAGAAAGCAGGAACAGTGTTGGAGAAAGCAGGGCAGTGTTGGAGAAAGCAGGGCAGTGTTGGAGAAAGCAGGAACAGTGTTGGAGAAAGCAGAACAGTGTTGGAGAAAGCAGGAAGTGTTGGAGAAAGCAGGAACAGTGTTGGAGAAAGCAGGAACAGTGTTGAAGAAAGCAAGACAGTGTTGGAGAAAGCAGGACAGTGTTGGAGAAAGCAGAACAGAGTTGGAAAAAGCAGGAACAATGTTAGAGAAAGCAGGAACAGTGTTGGAGAAAGCAGGGCAGTGTTGGAGAAAGCAGGGCAGTGTTGGAGAAAGCAGGAACAGTGTTGGAGAAAGCAGAACAGTGTTGGAGAAAGCAGGAACAGTGTTGGAGAAAGCAGGAACAGTGTTGGAGAAAGCAGGAACAGTGTTGAAGAAAGCAAGACAGTGTTGGAGAAAGCAGGACAGTGTTGGAGAAAGCAGAACAGAGTTGGAAAAAGCAGGAACAATGTTAGAGAAAGCAGGAACAGTGTTGGAGAAAGCAGGGCAGTGTTGGAGAAAGCAGGAACAGTGTTGGAGAAAGCAGAACAGTGTTGGAGAAAGGAGAACAGTGTTGGAGAAAGCAGGAACAGTGTTGGAGAAAGCAGGAACAGTGTTGGAGAAAGCAGAACAGTGTTGGAGAAAGCAGAACAGTGTTGGAGAAAGCAGAACAATGTTGGAGAAAGGATAGCAGTGTTGGAGAAAGCAGGACAGTGTTGGAGAAAGCAGAACAGAGTTGGAAAAAGCAGGAACAGTGTTGGAAGCTTGATCTTGCTGTATTTAATCATTTATTTACTCTTAAGATATATTACAAATTAAAAAAAAAATAATTGTTGAACAAATTCTTATACATTGACAAAGTGAACGAATTATAACATTTCCAAAAATGCATTTTATGAACAAAAAAAATCAATGAAGGTTTAAAATATGAAAAACGCAAGGTAACCTATGCTTCAATATTTTTGTATATATTATAGACGGAGCCTAAAAATGCAAAATAAATAATTGTTTAACCAATTATTATAACTAATAATATTTAAATGTCACACAGCAAATTGTCAGGAGAGAGTTGGTTCATTAATTAAACTAATATATATGTCGAAAATATTATAGTTAAAAATGTGTTGACGAGGCGCCTTGTCCGAGCAGTGGGGGTGAGGGGGTACATGGGCTTGTCCGAGCAGTGAGTGAGAGGGTACATGGGCTTGTCCGAGCAGTGAGTGAGGGGGTACATGGGCTTGTCCGCGCAGTGAGTGAGAGGGTACATGGGCTTGTCCGAGCAGTGAGTGAGGGGGTACATGGGCTTGTCCGAGCAGTGAGTGAGAGGGTACATGGGCTTGTCCGAGCAGTGAGTGAGGGGGTACATGGGCTTGTCCGCGCAGTGAGTGAGAGGGTACATGGGCTTGTCCGAGCAGTGGGGGTGAGGGGGTACATGGGCTTGTCCGAGCAGTGAGTGAGGGGGTACATGGGCTTGTCCGAGCAGTGAGTGAGGGGGTACATGGGCTTGTCCGAGCAGTGAGTGAGGGGTTATATGGGCTTGTCCGAGCAGTGAGTGAGGGGGTACATGGGCTTGCCCGAGCAGTGAGTGAGGGGGTACATGGGCTTGTCCGGGCAGTGAGTGAGGGGGTACATGGGCTTGTCCGAGCAGTGAGTGAGGGGTTATCTTGAGATGATTTGGGGGCTTTAGTGTCCCCGCGGCTCGGTCCTCGACCAGGCCTCCACCTCCAGGAAGCAGCCCGTGACAGCTGACTAACACCCAGGTACCTATTTTACTGCTAGGTAACAGGGGGCATAGGGTGAAAGAAACTCTGCCCAGTGTTTCTCGCCGGCGCCTGGGATCGATTCCAGGACTATAGGATCACAAGTCCAGTGTGCTGTCCGCTCGGCCGACCGGCTCCCGGTCGGTTAGACGTTAGATAGTTAGAGTTAGATGGTTTGACTTCATTTTCCTGGACTGCCAGAACGCGTTTGATAGTGCTGCTCCCAATTAAGTGATTCCCATGCACGCTTGAGCAGCAGCTGGTGTATGGGGAAGAACGTGAGGCGAAGGACTAAAGGAACAAAGACGGAAAAGAACCACAGTAAGAGATAACAGAATGGAGAATTGGATCATTGAGCCTTTCGTAAGCTAAATTCAACCCATGTAAGACCAACACTTGGGTATGCAGCCCCTGGTATGGAACCTCTATCTTAATAAACGCCAAAATGAAACTAGAAAATATCCAACGCTATTCAATAAAGCTCGTTCCAGAACTAAGAGGATTGAACTATGAAGAAGACTGAGGGAACTGGAACTCATCACACTGCAGTAAGAAAAGGAGTAGGGCAGACTTGATCACGACATACAAAATTCTAATTTTATTTTTAGAATTTTGAGAGGGAATGGAACGAGAGAGACATGAATGGAAACTGGAGACACAAATGAGTCACAGAAATGTCAGAAGGCGGGGACCAAGAACTCAATCTCGGACCTGGAAAACCATCTAGGTAAGAATTTCTAGGTAAAAGTCAATTGTCGTCATCGCTGTCTACATGACATCATCAATTCATCTGCAGAATATCGTCTACGATTGAGTGATATGATTCACAATGACAGTTCTTGAGAAGTTGCTTCAAATAGCAATACTCGTTCATTCCAAGATCGAAGGTCACCATTTGGAAAAAACACAAAAGTTTATAATTTTAAAATACCTTTCATGTGAGTTTCGAAGACTGTCCTTTGAAAACAAACAAAATTTAGTTTTCCATTAAATAATTAGTTTGTTACTGAGAAAGATTCAGTCTCTCACAGAATTCAGTAGCCTGTGATTGTTTACGAATAGGTTCCGAGATGTCATTAAGTTTCATGTTTAAGAATAGGTCCAACAAAGAGGCTGAAAAATGCTGACTGAAGATATCTCTCACGGTCATCTTGCTTTCAGACTTGCAAAGAGCCACAATCAGGATCTGATCAGCTCAGAATACGTATAAATAGGCGTTGTCTTTCATAGGTCAAGAGGTCCACAGCTCCCAGTTCCATATAGTGACAAAAATAACATATACCTTTGCGTAAATTCCATTCATGATTAGTTGACATCTCTTGAACAAATCCACAAGGCCCGTGACGAGCGTTCGAACTTACGTCCGAGACGATCCCAGGCTCGCCTTAATCGACTGAGCTACAACATGGTATAATAATTGCAACCGGGAAATCAACTGACCAACTACGGATCCTGCAGTCTCTCCGAGACACTAGTTGGCATCTCTCTTACCTAACTTCCTCCTTCCTGTATGGGTCGACCAGTGCTCTGGGGTAAGATTCACGAAGGAGTTACGCAAGTACTTACGAACCTGTACATCTTTTCTGAAACTTTGGCGGCGATGTTTACAATAATTAAACACTTAATGAGCTCCGAAGCACCAGGAGGCTGTTTATAACAATAACAACAGTTGATTGGGAAGTTTTGAAGCTTGTAAACTGTTTAATAAATGTAACCAAAGCCGTCAAAGATTGAGGAAAGATGCACACGGTCGTAAGTACTTGCGTAAGTGCTTCGTGAATCTGGCCCCTGGTCTTGATCATATAAGTAAACACAGAGACCCAGAGACGGGCCAGTTTCCTAGTACAGCGCTTAAGTGTTGTGATCCAGAGAGGAAATGGTTTTAGTATCTTGAACACGCATCTTTAGTATCTTAGGGAGCCGGTCGGCCGAGCGGACAGCACGCTGGATTTGTGATCCTGTGGTCCCGGGTTCGATCCCGGGCGCCGGCGAGAAACAATGGGCAGAGTTTCTTTCACCCTATACCCCTGTTACCTAGCAGTAAATAGGTACCTGGGGTGTTAGTCATCTGTCACGGGCTGCTTCCTGGGGGTGGAGGCCTGGTCGAGGACCGGGCCGCGGGGACACTAAAGCCCCGAAATCATCTCAAGATAACCTCAAGATAACCAAGATAACACACCCCGAGCCTCTGGGCACTGGAGCACTCAGGAGAGTGCCTCAGGTGCACTTGTCCACGTGCTGGCTCTCCTCTCCTTGTCTTGCACTCTCCTCTGAACAAGTTCTTAGATGTGTCAAGTGTAAGTGCTGGCGACCTGGGTAGTTACTCACGACTTATATAAGTAATTATGAGGCAGGAACGTGGTTTGTGTTGGATGTTGAGAGGTGTGTGTGTGTGTGTGTGTGTCTGTGTGTGTACCTAAACACACACACAATTTAATAATCTAAGAACTTAATTTAATTTAGATAATTTAATTATCTAATCGTGAGAGAGAGAGAGAGAGAGAGAGAGAGAGAGAGAGAGAGAGAGAGAGAGAGAGAGAGAGAGAGAGAGAGAGAGAGAGAGAGAGAGAGAGAGAGAGAGAGAGAGAGAGAGAGAGACAGACAGACAGAATGTGTTGGTAAATAGAGAAATAAAAATCCCAAAGATGAATTGAATCGTGGGTCCACTAGTTAGCAGCACCAGACGAAACTACGCCAGGCGCTATCATGGGTCCGGTACACACACGGGTGAATGACCCCTCTCTGTTTAGACTCGCCCACTTCACAGGACTCTTCCCTGGACCGGAGTTCGGGGCATCTTTCCTCTGTATTATCCACTTTACATTCCCCCGACCATGTCAAGCATTTTTATTCCTGTCAACACCAGATCCTGTTCATCCGTCACAGGCTAGGGACTTCGCTCCGGTAAATCATTAAAGTAGAGAATATACTTATACATATGAGTTAAGGTTCATCTTACTTATAAAGTATATTTCCTGTATCGTCATCTCTATAACCACTTATAACCTCTCTGTAAAGTGGTTAAGACGTGTGTGTGTGTGTGTGTGTGTGTGTGTGTGTTCATAGGGACATGTAAACTTAAATGTTCTTGTAGAGTCACGCTGAACTTTACATTCTGTTTTAAGTCGATCGTTAATGTCGTAAACATGTCTCTCCTCCATTTTTCCACTTCCCTCAGATCAAGAACGAAGCTTGTTCTATATATCTCTGAACATTTTAATCCTGTATTTGTGCCTCGTTCTTCTATAATCCCTGTGTTTAACTTCAGTTCTCTGTAGTTCTGAGGCCACTCCCAACCACTTGAAGTGGACGGTAGAGCGACGGTCGCACTTCATGCAGGTCGGGGGTTCAATCCCCGACCGTCCACAAGTGGTTGGGCACCATTCCTT